AATTTTGTCTGGGCGACAACAAAGTCAATGATGGGCTGTACTTCTTTCTTTTTAAATTTTTTTGTCCAGCTTTATTATTTTTACCAATAACTCAAGATGGCAAACATACCTAATACTCCTTCCTCCTTCTGTTTTCCCCATAACAATAACTCTGTGAAGTGAGTTAAGCTGAGAGAGTGATTGACCCAAAGTCATCCAGCCAGTTTAAGAGAACTGATCAACAATCCACATCTTGGTTGTATTCAGAGGTAATGCACAACCAGGTGGTAACCTGTTTTATGGTTTTGCTGAAAACTATAAAACAGGTACCACTGAAGTAACCTGTTTTATGGTTTTGCACCAAACAAGTAATCCTTGTTTAGTGACTGCCTTGCAGTTGCAATGGTGATGAAAAAGTAACTCTGTGACCAGTCTTTGCATTTACAACCTTTGCAGGTTTGTAAAGCAAAAGAAAACTGAAGATTGTAAAATCATGTTTCACTTAGCAAACACTTCACTTAATGACCAAGCTGCTAGTCCCAAGTGTAGTTGCTGAGTGAGGATTACACCTACACCCAAATTAACCAAACAAGGCAGCTTTACACTGCACAATAAGCTCAAGGTAGGAGCTAAGGATGCACACACACCCTATGCACAATTGCTGATTCACCAGTATCTCTCAGGCTATTACAAGAAATAAAATATTGGGAGAGACAGATGAACAGAATTTGAACCTGACATAAAATGCAGATCTGCAGAAAAGAATGAGAATCAAGGAGCTTATCAGACCAGGTCTGGACAACAGCTACCAGAAAAAAGAGGTCACAAGGAAACGATTCATCAAGATCAAACCAGGACCAAAGGACAGCAACCAGAGAAAAGAAAGTTTAGAGTTAATTTCCCATGCAGTGGGTAAAGTTTGACCGGGCTATTTAACAGATGAGCGAAAGGTTGATGTGGAAAGTGTGACAGAAGTTGCTGGCAAAGAATAAAATGACAACCTTTGATAAAGACTCCCAATTCATGCATGCAATTATCTACAAAGCACTCTGATCTTCTCCAGTCAGGGTACGTATTCTGGCCATCGTACAACAGTTGAGTATAAGTGGGTGTATGTGTAATACTTAAGCAACGGTAATTAAGTTTGTGTAGTAGGTTAATAAGAGATTCCCCACAAGCTGTGTGTGCCATGAACATTTCTGCATTGCATATGATCATTGAACTCTTGTAAGTATCTCCATTTAATGTCTGTGAGCGTATCAACTAATAAATCCTATTTAACCACCACCCACTCCCTGCCCCAGCTATATGCCACAAAGACTCAGCCACACCTACTGTATCTGCTCACTGGTGGAAAGCAAAGATAGTGGAAACCACCCATGGCTGAGAGCAATGCCAGGAAAAGCAAGGAATGAACAGAAATGTGTAACCAGGCCATTTTCTTGTGAGAGAAAAAAAACAGCACAACTCAAACTAAGCTGGTTATGATTGCTGCCTGTGAAGGAAGAGGTTGCTTCCCCCCCCCCAAGTTCAGATACCTGGTTTTGCTTCCTTATTGGCCTCCCTAAAGGGGAAATGCTGCTTTCTTAGTGCGCCACAGAGAAACAAAAACTAGCCACATGTCAATTTTGCAGGTTGCAACCCCTTTTAAAACCTTGTTGAACAAGTTCTACAAGGTTTCTTGCAGAATCTTTTCCATCCATATCAGCCTGCCAGCATTTTGCCTACAACCAAGTGCAACTATTTTGGCAGGTGTGAAATAGGGGGTCTTTTTTGCAGTTTCCCCAGAAGTCTAGAACTGTATTTTTCAATCTTGGTAACTTTAAGATGCATGGACTTCAACTCCCAGAATTTCTAGCTAGCAGGTTTAAAAACACTGCTCTAGAATGTGTTGTGACCTCAACGTACCACCACAACCGGGACCAGAATTTTCGTTGATAAGCCCGGTGGCTGATTTTACAACCTTTTCTGGCACACTTGTTAAACAAATCGCTGTAGTTCTTAATGAAACAGAGTTATTAAGCAAATCCAGCTTCCCCCATTGACTTTGCTTGTAGAAGTTGGAAGTCACAAACGTTGATCACCCTGGGACACTGCAATTTCATACATACATGTCAGTTGCCAAGTGCCCAAATTATGATCACATGACTATGGGGGTTATAAGTGTGAGGATTGGTCAAAACTCCTTTTTTTTCAATGCATTGTAACTTCAGTCAGTCAATAAATAAATGGTTGTAAGTTGAAGACTACCTGTATCAATAGTGGTTCTTTGAGTCCCCCAGCTTCAAGGCCTCTAAGAAAATCCCCCAAAACAGACTGATTTTCTCTCAACCTAAAATTACACGTGGCCCTTGAATGACATGCCAGATTCTATAAAATAATTTATCACCTTTAAACATGTAATGAATGGTGAAGAAAAGTCAACCTGATACCATTCAGAAAGGGTAGGACTGACCTTGGTTCTTTCCTATTAGATTACAGAAAAAAAGGCACGCTCAATTTTGTAATTGAAAATGAGGTCCCTTTTTTGCCCCCAAGAGTAATAAAGTATAATTAAAGATAATTTGATACCATTAGCAGTTACAAGCTTTTCAGGCTTTAACAGATTTGTGACTAAACTTGAAGCATCAATGATACATAAAAAATTGTAAATCAAGATTTCTGTTGACTAATAATGAGTCACGTTGTACATGGTTTATTTCTGTTGACAGCAATTTAACAGCAGTAGCTATAATGGTGCCTTTTTGGAGTGAAATATATACCTGGAAAATCTGAATTAGCACCTAGAGTGTCAAACAATGAGACCAAGAAACAAAACTCTGAAAATTGAAAAATCTGACCAACATGGACTTTCTGTAGCCAAAGAAATAGCTTGTTTACTTCACTTCCACAAATTTAATTGAGGAAGGGAAAAGAACATAAATATTTAACCTTTCAAGAAACTCAGACACTGGCTGAGTTGCAAACTGAAAACTGATATGCTTTTTAAAGCAGGCATACACAAAACAGGTCACAGTCTTGGTCTGACCTTATTGCAAAAACAGATAAATACCTGTACAGCTAAAATGTTATAAAGTTGGCTTTTTTATATGTTGCCCAAAAACACGGTTTGGAATGGAACACTTAGGAATCCCATGTTTCCCAGAAGTACAAATAAGACTCAAAGAGTTGAGAAAAGCTTAAGAAAAAGAGTTGGTATTTTAAGTGTTCTAATATTAAAAACAGGTAACACTGCAAAGAGTTCCCCCCCCCCCTTCAATTATGAAGTTTGAGACTTAGTGATAATCAGGATATCCAAGATCTTGAACACACACACAAGTCTCAGACATTTCAGATGACTTCAGCAATTGGAGGGAATTGCATTTAAACTATACCCTTCAGGAAAATGCTTAATATAGTTTCACACAACTCAACCTGGCCTTTCAAAGAACCTGCCAAATTTAGCTCTGACAAATTAATGGGGAGCTTTACTTTAATTTGTAAAGTAAAAAGTTAAAAAAGCATCACCCATAGATAAATTCAGCATTCTCTAACTTGGTACCCCCTGTATTTCCTGGACTACAGTTCTATCATCCCAACATGTGTATTTTCCTTAGGAAAACAATAATCATAGTCTAACATGCTGGGAAAGGCTGACTAATTCATCCAGTTTGGCAAATTCTTGCATCCACACAGCCATGCTAAATCTTTGGCCAAAGAGAGAAGATTTTGATTGGCTGGATCATCATACTACTAAGAATACTGAAAAGGCTGGAGGGGAAGAAAAGACAGTCATTCACAGTGATATGTGTACTGTTGATGAGTTAATCTTTGGGACAGCAGTGAAAGAATTGAGAAAGCAATGGGTCCCTCCTGAAGGAGACAGTTATTCCAGCCATCATAGCAATCAAGGCAAATCCTGGAAGCTGTAGTTCAGCAATATAATAATATAGATTCCTACTTTGTTCAAAGTCATATAAAAATGTACGTAGTCCACAAAATTGTATAAGCCAGTTTACTGCCTTAAGGATTGTCCATATTTCTGTTTTCTGACCATTTATAATTCAGTGGACCAATCCATTTAAAAATGTGATTCAGGAAAGCAATCATAAACTTTCTTTTGTGCACCTCATTCTTTGATTTTTCAAGCACAAGATAGTCTCATGCCGCACTAATCATTTCTTTGAAGGCTATGCACAAGTACTATGAAGCAAATTATTTTTTAAAAAACACTAAGACACTTTTAAAGCCAGAATCTTCTTGTATCTTGTGATTTTTAGAACAATTTAAACTCCAGCATTTCACACATATACCCACAGCTACCATCCAATTCTGCTCTGACCTTCATAAAGGTCCAAGTATGCAATTGCTAGAGATCAGAACAGCAAAAAGGACGCTATTCCAGGCTGAAAATTCAGATAAGAAATCATACATATTAGGAAATGATTTTAGTCATGTTAGAACTGTGTTCAAATTAGTTATTTACTACAATGTAGTGTTTCCTTGGTATTTCCTATTCTGGATCAAAACTATAAACCAAAAACCTAAAGAGTGAAGAAATTAAAAAACCCAGTTTCCATTCTTTGCTAAACGTCATGCTATTAAGACATTGCTCAACATTCAAACCTATTTACAATCTTAAATATTTACTTTACAACACATCCTTTTCTGAAAACAAAGATTAAGAATCCTTTACACTTCTTTCTCAAACACAGCATTCTTGGCAAAGTGTGATAAGCAACTATGTTTAGGGAGTGAAGATAGCACAACTATCCACCAGTGGATTTTAAAACATGTGCATGCTTTGAAGAAAACAATCCCCAAAGCATTCCTTAAAAATTATATTGAATTTCTGTAAAAAGAAATGGTAAATTAATTTCAGGAACACATAAAAATTCAGCCCTCATAGTAACCAACTCTGACTAAAATAAATATCATGGAACACATCTACCAACAAAGAGTACCTTTAAAATGTGCCAATTTTAAATGTGTTTCATTCCCCCCCCCCCCCACTTAGCCTATCTGCCAAGCAGACAAAAACAGAAGGAAGGAATATCTGAGTCTTGATGCCATTCTCATCCAGCGTAAACCTGAGGTTGAAGTGGAGGGGGTAGTTTGTCATTTTCAACATTTTCAGAGTCAATGGCCGCCAAGGCTGGGTTTGAGGCTTTAATCTCCAAAGGGTACTTCTCCACAATCTCCTGGACTTCCTTGGTGATCCCATCAGTCCAATCAATAAGGTCCCTCTCAAGCTTTTTGGCCTCACTGACAATCCTCTCCTGTCTCTCGTTCAGTTGTGAGAGGAGACCAAGATTCCTGTACATTTGGCGCATCCCCACACATACGTTGGCTGGCCAGTTCTCAGGTTCTTCTTTCTTTGGAGAGGTCTGGCCAGACATATAGCGGTCAAAGTCTTCCTGGCTCAGATTTAAGGACTGAGCATCCAACTTTTCTATGAAGGCAACAGCACAACACTGCAAAAGCAAGAGTTTAGTTTTTTAGGTTGCATAAGGTTAACATCAGCTCCATTCATATGCAAACTATTTGATGTGACACTTAAAATATGTTATAAACCTTGATAATGAAACCTTTTGTAGAAGATAGTTTAAATTATTACTTAATAACAATAATACCAGTAATAATAAATAATGTCAGTTTATCAAAAATTGTTCCGTTTGATCAGTTTTTTGTTGGAGGGCCACAATCTTAATTAGAAATTTACTTATGCATACATAACTCCCTTTCTTAAGTATATGTTACATTACATACTGCAGTTTGTGTATTCTGATACATGCAAACTTTTATTCATCTTGCAACAGCTGTGTGTGTGATAGAGTGAGAGAAAGAGTGAATATGCCCTTCCTAGACCATCATTAGCCATGGAGCAATATCTATAAACTACCTAGAGTCCATGACAATTGAAATAGTAGATACACAAATAAATATAGAAAAGGCACTGTTATTTTTTAAAACTTCCATGCCTACATTGTTCACATCCTCAAATATATACCATACTTCATGTTAAAGCTAGGTCTGGATTAACAAAACACAATTTTTAAATAATAAAACTTGCATAAAGAAACTATATTGTGGGTTAATATAATGGCCTGGTTAAAAACATGTAAATGTCATGGCTGGGTTCTCAACACACAAAGAATAGCTAAGTACACATCTCTACTGTAGGTCACTGTACAAACCCAATTAAAGTTTTTTCTAGTTTTAATTTTAGTTCTGTGCAATAATTCTGTCATACCTGGCTTCCCATTCCTATTTGGCAAACATAGCAAGAATATTGAAAGTTGTTATTGCAGACCTTTTTTTTTTTTTAAGTACATGTAGGTTTTGTTCCTGGTATTTCAACAGCAGAACTAGACGGTTGGTATTTTTCAATATATTTAATATATTAATTATCTGCATGAACACAGGATGTTAGATTTCCTTGATGTATGTGCATCATACACCTTCTCCATAGTGCCTCATGACTGTAGGTTCAAGATCCAGAAAACATGCCACAAATAAGCACACAGAACCAGATGAGCCAAAACTCCAATTCTATATAATGACAATTTCAGATGAGTTGGGCGGCCAATAAATTTAAATAAATAAATGATGATGATGATGATGATGATGATGATGATGATGATGATGATGATGATGATGATAAGTTCAGCTTCTCTTCCATTAAGAGAAAACTAGAAAAATAGGTTCAGTATCTGACAATATGAGTTACAATCAAAGACCAACTTACCAGGTTTGTAAAGTAATATCCATCCTCCCCGGTCATCAGCCTGCTAGGATTGCAGAATCGAGTAATGTACTGAATGTTAGACTGCAGGCGGGGTGGGTTGCCCTTCAGGACAATGTAGATGAGAGTGGGCAAAAAGTCATCAGCTGAAGCTGGTTCAGCCTTTGTGGTCCTGATGGCATTAAAGATGTGCTTGCTGCAGCTAGTGATGCAGGTCAACTTGTCCCGGGGGACACGCTTCGAGTCCATTTCAATGATGTCTGCAAGAGGAAAACAATCCCAAGAATCAAAGAAGGCTGCATTCCTTGGCAGGGCTCTTTCCACTTTAGTTGTCCCACCCTCCACACTTAGTGTTTATCAAATCTTGTATGCTATCTTTCTTTTAAAGGCTAGAAACCAGGAGACTGTGAATTCTAGTCTCCCCTTAGGTATGAAAACTGGCTGGGTGACTTTGGATCAGTCATTCTCTTTCAGCCCACAACATTAAGTCTGGGTGACAAGTTGATTGGTCAATTCCTACTGCAGCCAATGGAACAACATGCAGTTGATCTGAAAAAAATGGATCCTGCACTGATAGGAAAATGCTAGGAAAGGAGGAGAAAAAAAGCCTTATCAGTTACAGCCTGCCATATAAGAAAAAAAATGCAAGTTTTAATATAACTAATCCACTGATAAGCCAAATGATCCAAAAATGATTTAGGCAATTTTAAATAGTTGGCTACTTAAAAGAATGACGTAACAGTGCTATTTTTTGAGGAGGTTTTTCTCTTACGAGTTAAGAGGAAAAAGGAATGCCTTGAAAATGCTGCTGGCTGCAATATTATAATTTGTCCTTAAAATATATGTCTGTCCTAAAACTGTTTTATAGCGTATATAAGATTCTGAAGGGGATTCAAATGATTGACAGTTAAAAGGTACAGTTACAATGAACCAGGTTATTTATTTATGACAGCTTTGAATGATGAACCTCAGTTACTGTATTTAGCTTTCCATATGCAGGCAGTATAAAACATTAACAATAATTTTTATAGCACCGGAGTAACACAACTAAACATCTAAGTTCAGACAGCTGCTGAATGACAATTTTTCAGTTGATGACACAAGATTGAGAGTTGCTGAGAGTTATAGATAAGCCCAGGGCTTTTTTTCCTCATAGAACGCCCAGAACGGAGTTCCAGCACCTTTTTTGGATGGAACCTTGTAGAGTAGGCAAGGCAGGTTGTATGGTATGTGTGAGTTCCGGCACCTTTTTTTTTTTTTTTTTTTTAAGAAAAAAAGCACTAGTTAAGCCACATCTGAATGGCCATCAATTCATAATTCCAACTATAGAATAAGATCTTCTCAAGTCTCAAGCCAGAACTAGAAGGGACAGAAGGCTTAACGACCCAGATTTTTTGCCTTGAGGAAATCAATTGCTATGAAAATATGTAATGGCAAAAGGAGACTTATTCTACAATGAGTTTCAAAGAATTCCAGGCAATTATTCCAGGCAGTGGAAGAAGTGAAAGACATGTAAGGAAGAAAAAGGAGAGGACAGGAAGAATTCCTTAGAAATTAGGGACACCAACTACCTAAGTCTGTACAAACCTAATGGGCCAAAGTATTCTTCTAAACAGTTACGTAGTGAGTGTGAATAATTTCCACTTCATTCCCATTAAATTCCCATTAAAAAGTCCTTCCTGGGCGGGGAGGATGGAGAGAGAATGAAGCAATTAACACTCTCATGTCACTCTGAATTCTGGTTCTACACCGGTTGGATGTAGCAAACATTACCTTTGCAATATTATTCTTACATATTTTCATACTAACATGTATATTGCCAAGCAGAAAAGCTAACAAATGGTAATATAGGTTTCACTTTTTATGTATGAACCAGCCACACGAGAAATGTATTATCCCATGATATATTTGTGGTTTTTTTTAAAGAAATCACTCCTGAACAAGATTTTCACCCAAAAAAAAAAAAAAGAAATATAGGTACCACAGTCTAAACTCACATTCTTCTTACTAGCCTTCTAATACAAGACAAGTTTGCTCCTGGGATTGAGCTGGTGATTTTTTTTTACTATGGTAAAAACATTCAAGTTCAATAAACATCCCCTCTCCCAACCCATCAGCCCTTTACATACCCGTGATAGCTTTCACAACTACATCCGAGACTTCAGGGATTTCTTCATTGACAGGAACACAAAGCATTTGTGGAGTAACCCAGTGCAAAGCTCTGCCGGTTGATTTGAAAGCGAGAGGGAAAAAAAAAAATCACTATTAAGACCTTTAAAACAGTTTAACATGTCAAGACTAAAATAACAGAACTCTGTGCCCCAAAAATTGCATTCTGGGAAACAAAAGCAGAGAACAAATATTTAGTTACTTAAATAATGTATCTGCTTTTATTTCTTTATTTAATTTCTTATTGCATACATCCTAAACCACCTGGCTCAAGTCATACAGGGGTTTTAGAGACCAATATCAATGTCATGGGAAATCCATTCTTAGGCATGATTTTAAATATTTTTGGATGTACCCAAAACCAATCATTCCAAAAGTTAGTAGCAGATTTGCTTTAAGTCATCCGTAGATTATGACAGGAAAATAAAAAGAAACTATCTGGTTTTATATATTTTGACTGCCAAAACTGGGAATCTGTAATCTGATTCAGAGAACAGAGGTAGTCCTCAATTTACAACCATTCATTTAGTGACTGTTCAAAGTTACAATGGCAACGAAAAAAGTGACTTACGACTGGTCAATGAAGGAAGCTAATCTGATTATCTAATTAGTTTGTCAACCCACATGATTCACTTAACAACTGCAGTGATTTGTTTAACAACCACGGCAAACAATTGGGCCCAACCCACTTAACAGCCACCCTGCTTATTAATGGAAATTCTGGTCCCAATTGTGGTCATAAGCCAAGGACTACCCGTCATTAGGAAAAGCTTTTCACTTCAGTACCAACTCTATTGGCCTTTATGAAGCCTAAGAAATAAACGTTAATATTGGTGTAAACCTTTCCCCAATGTGCTTCCATTCATCTATTTACATGTAACTTTGTATGAGGCAACAGCTCTCTTGTCATCTCCACTGATGCATTTTTACAGACAGAAAAGGTTTCATGAATCGAAAACCTAATTACAAACACATACATTATTTTTCTTGATGTGTAACAATGCATAAAATTAGCTCCTCGTAAGATCTTGTTCTTCCTCTATGTCCTACAAATTGAATGACTGCAGTTGGCCTTATAACATGCAATATTGTTTTCATTTGAGTCAAAGACTATATTGGCCACTGACTACCAACCCTCTTTTCTTTTTTATGGTATATGCCAATATTTTGTGTATGTAAAAGTCCAAAAACATTCAATCCTTAAGGAGGCACCATCTGTTGCCAAAGAGCTCTCTATATGTCCTAGCACTTGATTAGTTTGGGGCCAGTCTACTGGGCATAACAAGAAACTAGGTCAGAAACTGAAAAAGATTACAGGATCTCTCAGTCTGTACTATTCTTTTATTTTCCTCTCAAAAGTATATTTTGAAATGAAATGCTTTCATTTCAAAATATATATTGTCTGAGAGATGGCATTTTAGATTGTAATGTGCCTATTTTTTCCCCCTAGAAATTAATTTCCCCAAGTTCTGCAATGTTTTTGAATTTACTGAAGAAAAATATTTGGATGATTTGACTTTTAGATATTCACAAGGCAATAAATGTATTAGTTGATATTTGTCTAGGTAGGCACTCATGAATCACTAACTCTTTAAATATTTTTCAAGAATGCAACAAAAAAAAAGCAATACAAAACACTGAAAGGAGAACTTGCAGGATGATAGAGTTCAAACTGAGTAATCCCCCAAGGTTCTTCACATATTGCTCTTTTAGAAAAAAGGGATCAGTGTAAAGTTCAATTGGTCTCACTGCTCCTTTTGAGAAATCTCAATTGTACTGGACCTTTAAATCCTTCACAAGGATACAAACATTTGCTGTTTTTTTTGCTGTTCTTCGTATGATGCATGTATTTAACTTTATCCCACAAAAGTTCAAGCTGCTAGTGCTAGTGTAGGCGTTTTTAAAAGCTTCTTTATTCAGACCACAAATTTAATATGGGCTATTCTGATAATTGAGGATTGGCATGGCGTTCCACCAAGGAAGACAGTGAAGTGAAATATTATAGATACCGTATATACTCGAGTATAAGCCGAGTTTTTCAGCCCATTTTTGGGGCTGAAAAATGCCCCCCTCGGCTTATACTCGAGTCAGCGGC